AAGAAAACTTTTTAAACCAATACGTTTTTTACAAAAAGATGAAATGATGAATTTAGTTTTTATTTTTTGTCCCCACATTGTGCTGCTTTAAGCCAGGTTGTCTTTTTTTCTAATTGAATTTCAGTAAAGTGTAACTCACATCACAGTCTTGTTGCAACATTACAACAATAGTTATTTCTGCGGGTTTTTTAATTTTCATGTGGAGTCATGTGGATGAAGGTGAAGGAGAAGAAATCCTGAGTGGAGACAGAGGAGCTGCTGCGGCTCATTCTGCTTCCTTCCCCTGATTCTTACCTGAGCTTTTATTACGGTAAAATCATAAATGATGTGCATTTCTATGTCAAAATCTAAAGTGTTTTTTTTATCTGCCGCGGTGGAGCAGAAGACAAAGGACGAAAGACAGATCGTGGACAAAAGATGCGTTGTGGCTGCTGTGGAAATATGAACCACCATTTTGATAGAGCACAGACCCGACATTTCCTGTCGGTGCTACAGTAGAATGGCTCGATCCTGTACGCGTTCTCTTCCGGGCTAGTGCGCATAGGTCTTGGCGCAATATTATTATTTTTAATAATAATGATTACGCCAATAATAAGAGCACAGCTGCTTCAGCTGCTGCTCGTGGTGGTTCCTGACGTTAGGCTGAAAAAGTGAGCCGTAATGGCGATGAATAAACAGAGCTGGCTCTGTGTATGTGTGTCTGTGTATGTGTGTAGGAGAGAGCATTATTGGCTGCCTGGTTTCTGGGCAACTGCTGAGCACAGCTCTCTGTCTGACTGACTGTCTGTCTGACTGTCTGACTGTCTGTCTGCTCATGTGTCCTACTTTACTGGGCGACATTTTCTGCTCAGACATGAAAACTGCGAAGTCGTGCACGAGGACACAGCGCAGCCTCGTGCACGACTTCACAGTTTTCATCTGGAAATGTACTATTATTATAAGGCGGCATCTCTTCAACCACGATGAGCCGATTTGCCCGGGGTTTTCCGCGGCCGCATAAATGCCATTCGTAAAATAATAAAGTCACTGGCTTCCCGACAAGACCTGCCCTGTCTTTGGTTTGTCCACGAAATGTATGCGCTCCAGATTTTTGGCGCATTTCCTGCAGCTTTAAGAAGCAAACAGACGAAAGTTGAAGCTTAACAAAATCACCAAGACTGTATGTTGGACAGCAAGCCAAAACTCAATACTCTATCCGATACTCTAATCTCTTCACATATTCTATTTAAATATATTTTTTTAATATTCCCCGACTTAAAAAATCAGTTAAGGAATGATTCTCAAAACAGTACCTATGTTTTTAAAAATCCACCCGATGATCAGGTCATTAAATATATTTCAATCATGTATCGGAGCGACCCAATAAACTGTCTCCTGTGATCCACGAGTGGTTCCCGACCTAAACACTGGGTCGGGAACCACTCGTGGATCACAGGAGACAGTTTAAGATAGTCCAGTTGACGGAACAGATCTGCAATAATCGTGGAGTGGAGTGTGTCCTTCCACTTTTGTTGAATTACTTTCTTTAACAAACACACACACATATATATACACACACATAAACACACACAGAGACAGTACACACAGTACACACAGTACACACAGTACCTTCACACTGTAATAACCCAGCACTGGTCTTTAACTGGAACACTGTTACATGAAAACGTTTTAGAAAATGTATTAATTTTACAAGAAATGATTTAATTTAATACTAAATCATGAGTAGAATATTTTACTTTTTTTTTTTCTTCCAAAATGTCTTTTTGGCTGACTAACCTATACAGTGAGTTTCTCTGGTTGTTTTTTTCTTTTTTGGTTATTTTGTTAGGATAAAGGTTGGAGTTTAAATCTGCAGTGGAGTCCTGATCTGAGCAGGGGTTATCTCACTGCACAAATTAGTAACATAGAGTTTTGATCTACAAGATGTAGCCCTACGACCCACTTCTGGGTCAAACCCAGAAACCCCTCTTTTTAAGAGTCTTATTTAAAGCAGATTCTTGGTTTCCGTCTCCTTTAGTCTTCTTTTTAAACTTATAGTAAATAGTGTTGAATAATATAAAAACGTAGTGAAGCTACGGAGAAAATGTTTGTAACTCAAACTAGAATCCAATCTGTGACTCTCTTAATTAACACAATTAAAATAAAGTGTCATGAGTGGATCTTCTGCATTTCCACAAATATTTTAATGTGTAAAAAATGATTTAATTTAACTGGATAGAAAATACTACCATGCCAACCAGTATTAATTTACTACGTAGCATTATTTGTTATAGAGAATTTGTCAGTTTTTACCTGTCTTGCTCTCTTGAGAGTATTTGTAGTTATAAATACTTTGTAGCCAGAAAAGCCAAACACTATTTTTAAATGAGTCAAAAATAGATAATACATCCAAAAGTAAAACTAAAAGTTAGCCACACATTGAACAAAGTTTGCCAACAAAATCTGTCAAAAGTTGCCTTCAAATTTTCTATCAAATTAATATAAATATGTTTCACCTGTCATGAGAAAAACTTTAAATAACTAGACCAGGGCTGCATCAAAACCTGTCCGAGTGCCAAAACTGGCCCTCACCCCAGACTTTGGACATGACTGTTTTAAATCAATTACAGAATAAGCATTCTGCCCATGCACTGTTGCAGTGTTGCAGAGATGAAACCACCTCTGTGCAGGCAGTATGATGATAAAGAGGGCATGTGAAACATCACACTCGCTCTATAAATATGTCAGGCCTGCACAGCCATGTTTCAGTTTCAGTTTCCTAACCGACGCATGACTGAGTCCCACGCCTAGTTCACAGCCATGTTAGGCCTTCAGTGATCGCCCTCGATCTCAGAGACAAGCATGCCAGCTGTGTGTGTGTGTTCATGGTCTTTCACATACTACTCATATTCACTGTATCAAGTGAGTTTCACCATGCAAAAAATGTGCTGTGTCACATCTGCAGCCTGTTTTAGACAGATCTACACGACTGCCGTGGCCCTGATTGGAGCAAACCACTGCTGACTGATGACTCTCTTATTTTCTTTTTTTCTACTTTTTTGGCTTTCTTTCAATCTTTTGTTCTTAATGTGACCAAAAAGAGAACCTAAAGGTTCCACACTGACCTTTTACTCTGGCAAACCTGGGCACAGATTTGGGGGGATTTCCATGGTGTATTTAAATGTAAGGGGTATACCTCAAAATTCCTGGACAGACAAGAGAAAGTACCTGAGGGGTATTTACAGCTCTACAGTCCCGGCCGGCTGCTGGCTTCCTTTTCTTTTTTACCTTTTTTCTTTTTTGTTTTCAATTTGAAAAATGCCAGACTTCCCCTTTCGAGGCAAGCATTTCCATGACAAAATCCCTGTGATCAAAGAGAAGTTGAACAAAAACCCCTTTCTGTCTGTAGCCTCTTCATTTTGTGGTTCAAATGTATGGAGAGTCAAATGAAGTCCGTTGAACTCCTGCCTCACAGGTGTCACGGTTGTTAAAGTTGTTACTACACATTCTTTATCTCTTATTGGCTGATCACATCGGTCTGCACACTTTATAGTTTACACGAAACTCTTCCTCCTTCTCTTTCCTGCCCTTCCTCCTCTCCAAGGTTGCTTTGTTTTTGTACATCGGCATCTCCCCAGATAAAAACACCAGAAGACGCCACACACATTCCTGGGCCTTATTCTCATTCTAAACATTCCAGAGTAAATCTTTCCATTCCATTTCTGTCTGGATGTTTCTCAGCCCTGCTCCTCTGGCTCCGGGCCTTTAATGATCTCCTCAAGACTGCATGGAAAACTCCAGCTGTGAGCTCCAGTAGAGTATGAAAATAACCTGGAGGAGAAATGCTGCGTCACAGTGACACAGAGAAAACACAGCTCTGTACCGGTCGACTCTGAGCGTTCCGCAGACACATTGTATTTAAATGTCACATAATTGACACCCTCCCCTGCTCTGTGCGCTCGGAACAACCACAGTGGAACACAGAACCTCAGTGAAGCCTTTTGTCTCGCAACCGTCGCACGGTCACATACTGCGTACGTACTGTACACCAGTGTGTTTCCATTCCTGTTTGAGGTCCTGTGCCTCGGAGAGAGACAACGTCTGTGTGAAGTGTGGATGATACAAGTGACCGGTGCTGTTACGCAATACAGAAGGTCCTTTGTACACAATCCTTTCTGATTATGCAACATGAGACGTTTTCCTATTTGCGGTTAGCAACTAGCTTTCTTGCACCTAATGTTCCAGTCTTCCTCTGCATGTGCAGAGAGGAACTGCAGAACAATGATTCATAAATCTCTAACTGCAAAACAAGAACAAACACTGGAATACTGGCCTAAAAATAAAGAACAAATTCTTCACGTTACGTTGACAAGTCGGACGTTCAGTCTCCACCGGGTCTCAGAGCGGCAGGAAAAAACAAACAAAAAAAAAACAAGAGTTCCAACAGGTCTCTTTCTTTATTGTAAAACATACCATTCAATGAGCTGTGCCAAAAGCGATAAGTCAGTCGACCTTCCAACAATAAACCGTTACACTGTGAAACAAATGCAAGAGAGAATTGACACAAGACGGACCAACAGATGTGACTGCTTCAGTGGGATCACCTGCAGCCTCTGGTACAGAGAACACGCTGTAATGGTTTCTGAACAACAAATTAAAAGTCAATAAATATGCACATTTTTCTTAACCAATCTGACGTTTTGTTTAGCATTCTCCCTGGTCTTGCATTAGCTGTGCATGGAAGGCAATTTAGACTCTGACGTGGGTTACATCCAACAGCTTTGACATTTGAATTTTTCAGCAGCATTTTCAGAACAGCTTGCGCTCACCGGATCACATGTAACACAATACACGCCGGCCCACCGTGCAACTCATATTTCATCCGCTCAACATACTCCTCCGTGACCCTGCTCGCCCCCCCCCCCCCCCCCCCCCCCTTCTATAACATGAAGCAGTCAAAGAGATCACACAAGACGGTTTATTAGCAAAATGAGATGATTATTGTTGAGTCTGTGTGTTGTCAGGAAAATCCCAAACACATTTAGACATATTTCAGCTCCAGCATAGTGTGAGGTCAAACAGAAGGTAATTATTCACAGTCCCCCTAGTGGTCAGACTCAACGAGCCACCTCAACGTTAGGGGTAGTATTTGATAAATGACAGAATTTGATCTATAACGTGGTTATTGACTCTGTGTTCAGTAGAACAGCCCTAATTTGGATTGTTATCACTGATGGCTTCACTGCATCTCAACTATTGATGTAAGTCAAAACAAAGGCCGGTACATTCCTTAAAGATTGTTGACGTAGCTGGAAATGTCTCACAGTTTGCCCTCATGTTTACGCCCTCGACTGCATTTAAGAAATGGACCCGGAACAGAAAATACGGCAAAAAATGAGGCCACCTATTGGTCCGTCTCTTCTCCAAATCAACATGACGTAAAGAAACGGCACGTCAACGCCACAGGTGAATCAGCCGTTTCTCAAGGGTTACCACAACAAAAGCTAAGTAGCATAATGACGTATCCTTCCTACACCTGGGAGTCGGAGGTTTGATTCCAGGTCACGACCTTCTCCCTGCCACTAGAACTGTAGATCCTTAGCATCCATTTAGCATCTTGTGCCTTGCTCTCTAATGATCAAAATTATCAAAAAAACAGATACCATGTTCCCCTGGAGAAGACAACAAACTAGCAACAAAAACATGTATATAACTTATAACGATAAAGAAGCAGCTACATTTCCCATTTCTCGTCCATTTCTTATGTATAATCTATGCTTCAAACTGCACGATTTTGTGAATGTTTTTTTGTTGTTTTTTTAAAACAACCCATAAAGAGAGTCTGTGACTAAATATTCCACCAAGGACCGAGGGCCAGTGTCCGGAATTAAATAAAACATCAGTTAAAACAAGGGAATTCTCCGTAATGACACAATGTTGCAAATTTACATATAAAATGTAATTAATTAAGTGCTTTCAATTTGATCTTGGATCATTATACCTCTTAAATCTCTCTCTACCGTCTATTGTTAGGACCAAAATAACATATCATTCATACAAAATACATAGAAACCTTCATACATCTCAGGTTATAGGTTTGGTACGTATGAAACAACAGCAAACGTTTCCCATGAAGTTCCATATGAGAGATAAACGGCTTTTTTTGTTTGTTTTTCGTGGATTCTTTCCACCTTAAAAGCATTCGCTCAAATCCTCGAGGGCACTTTCTTGGCTGCACCGATTAAGTGCGGTTACAGTGTA